AGCAATCATTTGTACTTCTGAGCAATTAAGTAATTTGTAAGTCCTTCAACACAGCAACCTTTCTGGTTCTGTGGACTAGTAGTGGCACAGTGGGGGAGGGGGAGGTAAAGGGGAAGGTTTTGCGTGCTCGCCCACCACTTGTGTGGCCTGGTTCCCAATGGGTCATGGCCTGCTAGCAGGCTGCAGGCCGGGGATTGGGGACCCCTGCTTTAATATGTGAGTTCCAAAACTCATCTCAACAAAATTCCTCTTTTTTATTTATGTTTGAGCTAGACAGAGAATAGGATAATCTAAAGAACAACTTTAAGACAGACAAGACCAGATACCAAATGCTGTTCATCGGTGACTTGATTTGAGATGAATGGACTGCATGCACACAAGCAAATGATTCACCATAGAGCTGGTGTAGCATTTCTCTGAAAGTAATACTCCATCTTGGAATAACAACATCATATTATCAATAGTTTGATCAGAAAGAACCGAAATAAGGTAATGATAAACCAGGTTTGTAGGGCAAGCGTTCAGATACAGACGTTTTATATTTCAACATAAAGCAAGATTTTTTTGCCTATTTCTTTGTTCAATTTATTCAACTCTTAAGATATACAAATAGTTTAAATAAAGTTAAATAGTTAAAATAAAGTTAAATAAAAATCAGATCACAGAAGACTAGACTTTCTTAAACTTGTATATCCTTCTCAAAGCTAATCTTGGCTTTGGCAAATTATAACTAGGAAGAAGCTTCAGGTCAACTTTAAAGCAAACCACATCATCTTTGTTCTTTCATAAAAATTGTATTGCTTCTATAATACAAAACTCGTATTCGGAGCAAATCTAGATCTCCTTGCCTAGGTCTACAGAACCACCCATTGTCTTCACCTTAGTTTCAAATTAAAGAGAAAGGATGGGACACCTTTCATTGCCCTCAAAAGAAAAAAATAATAATCACTCTGAGTAACAAGTAGACTTGAGATCCCAACTTACATAAAACATTTATGAGCGGCTACCAATGATTATAAGGTATTTACAAAATTTAGTAAATTACTCTGAAGCTATTATTGAAGGGTGTGGAATAAATACCATATATTAAATCAACAAATCTTCAACTTCCATTTTTCATTTCTTTATGTAGGGTGACCCACTTAACTTTAATGTGTCATTTCTCCTAGAGATACTCTGGGGGCAAAATCCAATGTACTGGATGTCATGTGTCTGAGTAACGAAACACTTAAAAGGAGTACTTAACGTGCCGCTTCTTGCTTTGACACTGGATCATACTGCTTTTACTTTGTTTTTAAATATCATGCCTTTTCTAATTAGGGCACTTTTGATTAATGTTTTATCCATTTTTACCCTGCTGCTTATGTCAAGAGAAAGGATACAACATAAATACAATTCAGAATATAAGTTGGTAAAAGAATCACATAGAGATAAGCATCAAAATTACTCTCAAAGTAGAGCAACCTACATAAAAACTAATGCGTACTTACATATACCAACAATAATTGAGAAGGCATGCTCCAGTCTCAGGCAAAAGAGAAGTTTGTAGAAGTTGAAAGACATCAAGGAGAAACATAAGACGACACTAATCCATTCCTGCAGCCTTTTCCCTGTTAAAAAAAAGGTAAGTTAAAGCATGGTGCTTTTTGCTTTATTCGTATTAAAATAGTGACATATTAACCAACACTTAATATGAAAGTCTTGAAGGAGCAGATATAGATAGTCCTAAATATAAGACCATAATGGAACCTGCCCGTTATGGTTGCAAGTCAGTTGCTAAGGGAAGCAAGTCCACAATCACATTGCTTAGTGACCCTCTCCCCTTCTCTCGTTGTGGCTAAGGGACCCAATAGGGTGGGAAGCAGGCCCAAGGCCAGTGGAGACCCAGTGAAGGGGGGGGAGTAGGGGAGATAGGACAGGTTGGGGGCTGCTAGAGCTTCCCTGACCACAGGACACTGCAGTGTCTGCAACTTTGAAACTGGATCATAAGTAGGGCAATTTTTAAGAGGGGTTTTTAGAGGGGTTTTTAATCATATCTTAATCAGACAATTTAAATATTTCATTTTAATTAATTTTAATTTTGTGATTGTTATTGGTGTTTTTAATTGATTGTCAGCCGCCCTGAGTCCACAAGGAGAAGGGCGGGATATAAATTCAAATAATAAATAAATAAATAAATAAATAAATAAATAAATAAATAAATAAGTAAGTAAGTAAGTAAGTAAGTAAGTAAGTAAGTAAGTAAGTAAGTAAGTAAGTAAGTAAGTAAGTAAGTAAGTAAGTAAGTAGCTTTGGGCGAAATCTGTCTTAAGGTCTATTGGTTGCTAAATGACCAGTCGTAAATCAAAGACTACCCGTACACAACTTCTCTTGCTGGCCTAAAATATTTCCTGCTGACTGCTTAAATAGGGATTTAAGCCTAATTTCTGGTAGAAGGAGCTGGCAGGCACTTTTTCATGGAGATGTCTACCATTAAGAGTTGTAGATAGTAGATAATATTTTATTTCTGAAAAAGCCTATTTTGAATTTATATGAACATTTTATTGCTTCCGTATTTGAAATATTATACTGGCACATTATGTTTTACTTGAATAATTAAAAAAATACCATTTTTTAAAAGTTGGATTAATGAAACGGAGGAACGATCTCACCAGTTACATCAGTTTGGCTTCGGTGTGATCAAAATATTTTATCAAGCACTCCCATAATTCTGAATTCTCCTTGCATAGCAGCAGGGAAACTATAAAAAGACACAAGAGCTCCAGCAAGCATATATGCTAACCTTATCCCAGGGAGAGGTACACATAGTTCTTCTGCCTACATCCTGCAGTATGCTGACTGTGTTGTCTCAGATGGAAAAAGGAAGTTCAGAAGTAGTGAGTTTGTGGAAGAAGGTTGTGGAACCCACATATGGTAGCTGTCTTATATTGAACAAACCATAGATTACTAGCTTGACAATATGTTTTTTAACGTATATGTGAATTATTATTATTATTCTAATTCAGCATTAATGACATCAAAGTTAACATTTTGCAGAGAAGCAATCGCACCCTAATCAAAAGAGCTAAATGTTAAAGTCCACAAGGAACAATTAAGATGTTCAAAACATCAGGGCACTTACATTTTACCTCCCAAAGGAAACTATGCTCAATCTCCTTGTGAAAGTAACCCTGCCATTTCAAGTCAAACACTAGTTCTGTACATATTAAGCAAACATTCATTTAACTATGACTTACTGAATAAATCAACAGGGCTTGCATAACACGCTAAATCATAAATCATGATTTAAAATGAAGAATTATGGGAGTGCTTGATAAAATATTTTGCCATGGATGAGACTTTTCAAACTTTTAGAAAAACACAGTTCATGATTGCATTATATTCTGTTTTAGTGGTTCAGATATCACATGTCATGGATATCCCAAAGCTGAAAAAATACCAGGTCAAGCAAGAAGGCTTATACTAGCCCTCTTTTGTAAATAAAAATTGAAATGCAAAGTATTAACACTTCAGGTTTAAGGATTTAAGCTCTTCTCATAAACAACTCCAACTCTTAATTCATATATAAATTATTCAAATAGATGCATTTAAGCATCAACTATTGGGGTAGCTGGTTATGATCTGTTATCAGTTGTTTATTGCTTTGGCCTTCAGATCAAAGAAGTCAATAAGCAAGCCTTAAGTCCCAGCCACAGATAAAAGAACATTCTGACTTATATTAATACTTGTAAACTAAGTTACTACAGTAATTAATGACCATCCAGAAATTTTTGCTGAAAGAAGCAACAGTAGTTTGTAGCTACAAAAAGTTGCAACTCCCTTGCCTTGAAGGATTTAGCTCATTGGCAGTATGTCAATTACCCTGTAATGAAAGAGACTTTTTTTCACTGACACAATATGAAAAAATGATTATAGTTGCTACTCCAACAGTATTACTGCCAAGTCCCTACACAAAAATGTTTTTGAACATGTATCTAAAACTTCTTTTCATCTTGACAAATTAAAAATCAAGACCACTTTTCATCAATTTGAGTGACATGGAGCCAATGGAACCTAATTAGATTAATGCATTCAGGACTTCTGAGTAAGAAATGGCAAATTAGAGATCTCCGAAGGAACAGAGATTGCACTGTGACCAGGACAGACCAGCGATGAGCCTGGTGTAATGGAACCATTATTAGAAGCAAAAGGAAGGAATACAAAGTTGATTTTTTTCCCCTTTTTACGACCCTTTAATTCCTTTATTTGGGGTGGAGTCTGGACGACTGAATGGAGCTGAGCATTTACTGGCTGGATGCCCTTCCTGACACCTACACAGAGTTCGCAGCAGATATTTTCTCATTGCGCCCTGATAGAGAAACATCTGCCACTGCCTAGGATTGAATACTCAACCTTCCGAGTGGGAGGCGAGCGCCTTCACCTCGAGGCCACATACCGCTCTGAAAAGCTGACTTATCATTTGATCAGGATTAAAGTAAGATATATCTTTATAAAATTCTGGGAATCCTTCAGACTTTTTGCCGCCACGTGCATAAAAGTATTAATGATTCATGGATTTGTGAATGGATACAGGATTGTTTCTGGGTCAAATTGATCCACATATGTAACCTGTGATGCAATGTAATGCAAAACATTAAGCAAGATTATACAGGTTGCAAAGACAACAGATACAATTAACACAATTCTGAGAGCAGAGGTAGGGGACAAAGAGAACTTAGAAAACCTATTTATTTATTAAATATCTTTTATTATTTTTATATAAATGACTCAAAGCAGCAAATGTATCTAATACTCTTTCTTCCATTTTCCCCACAATAACAGCCCTGTGAGGTAGCATGGGCTGAGAAAGAGTAACTGGCCCAAGGACACCCAGCTGGCTTAATGTCTTAAGATGGGACTAGAACTCATGCTCTGATTTCTAGCCTGGTACCTTAATCACTGGACCAAACTAACTCTCTTAACTTAAACTGACTGCTTAATAAAATATCAATTATAGGCCCAACACAGCCCACAGAAAATCCTGACCTTGCGGGCACTTTCCTGCAGAAATGACAAATTAAATAGCATTTTGGGGTAATTAGAAATTCCAAATTAAATTGCTAACCTATTACAATGCTTTTACATTACTTATGATGTGATCATACTTTGAAAGTTGTATGGATCTTCTAAAAGGATCCTGTTAAGATTAAGAAACAGTACAAAAGTGAGCAGTTATATTGATCAAGGAGCTAGAACAGTGTTTCTTGACCTTAATAATTTTATGATATGAGACTTATAATTTCCAGAATTTCCCAGCCAACTGGAGAAGAATGATCTAGAATAAGTTTTGTATGTGGAAAGATTACATTTTGGATTCAGATATATATAAAAATACTAATAAAGTGGGACATGACAAAGATATACAGAATGATCTATACCGGTAGTATGGGGAAAGTAAGTCAATAGTTCCTCTTTGGAATTCTTGGTGCTCTCTGAGTTTGGTTGTTTCCTTGCAGACATTTCATTACCTAACTGTTAGGAGTATTATTTTCTTCACGATAATAAGAAAGCTAAAAAGAAAGTAAAAGATCAGGATACCTCCCCACCAGCAATCAACACCCAGATAAACAGGGATTATTAACACCAGACCAACAATTAAGCAGTAAACAATATCCCAGTCAAGGAATTACCAACTCAGACAAACAATCAAATAGTAAACAGTTTAATCAAGGAATTATTAAGAAGAAAACACTCCCACCAACACTGATAAGGCAAGCCACTGTATATAAACAGAGAGCAAATCCCACTCCCTTCTAGTACTGAAGATGTTACCTAGTTGTGTAATAAAACATCTGCAAGAAAACAATTAAGAGCAGAGAAGCACCAAGGACCCCACAGTAGAACACTGAACTACAAATATTTTCTTCTGTTAGTACCAATACTTCTCTTTCACATTGTAATGTTAGAACTTGGGAATTGCCAATGAAACCAATGGTAGCTTAGAGCAGGGGTGTCAAACTCGCGACATCACGTGACGTCGCGCAACGTATCGGGCCGGTTTTGCCATTGCCAGCAATGGGGTGGGCACGGCTTCAGTATGATGAAACCGGCCCGCAGGCCAGCAGTTTGACACCCCTGGCTCAGAGCTATTAAAATGAAATATATTTCAAACCTCCCAAAATGTCCCACTGCCAATGATTCCTTCATACATCTGTCTTTGGATTTGCAAGAGGCCAAGCAATAATAAGAGATTTTAATATGTGGTTTACATGTGATCATTATTACGTGAAGCCTTAAGTAAGAGAACAAAAACTCTTTGTATAAAAACAAAAACGTTCCAATGGATATTTTTGACAAAGCAGTGTAGTGAATCTTCAATTAACGGTAAAATATGTTATTTTTTTCACCAGAGCGGTTTGTAGAGCAATCAAAAAACCAGAAATGCCACTATAGCTTCTCAACCTAGCACCTTATGTATCTGTTAGACTTCCACTCCTAATAATCTTTAATTACTGAGACAATGCTGGATTATGGAATTGAATTTTAAACTTTTTAAGAATGTCAAATTGACATGAAAGGCTATGTTAAGAGTTAAAATGTGATCCTGCTCCAAACATGT